ACAGGTTTCCCATCCCTGGACTATGACCTAAAAACTCTTTAGGCAATAAGGTCTGGCAAAAGTGAAACTCATTTTTAACATTTTTTTCTAGCTCTCAGGAATAGGGCTTGGTCTCAAGTGAGGTGGGTGAGGCCAGTAGGAGGGTAATCATTACCTTATGTAAAACTTTAAGAGTGGCCAGCGCCGCGGCTCACTAGGCTAATCCTCCGCCTGCGGCACCTGCACCGCGGGTTCTAGTCCCGGTCGGGGTGCCGGAATCTGTCCCGGTTGCCCCTCTTTCAGTCCAGCTCTTTGCTGTGGCCCAGGAAGGCAGTGGAGGATAGCCCAAGTCCTTGGGCCCTGCACCTGCATGGGAAACCAGGAGGAAGCACTTGGCTCCTGGCTTTGGATCGCAGCACGGCGGCCGGAGCAGCCACTGGAGGGTGAACCAACGAAAAAAGGAAGACCTTTCTCCCTGTCTCTCTCTCTCACTGTCCACTCAGCCTGTCAAAAATAATAATAATAATAATAATAACTTTAAGAGTGAATATGTCTTTAGATTTTGTATGGGCACCTAACTCTTAGAAAAAGTCTTGCTCTTAGAGTTGTGCAAGATATGTTTAATGCCTGACAGTAAATCCCTTCTTTGATTTTGTGCTTTAGGGGGTTCACCTGGCCCACCATAGCCCTAGCCCTGTTTCAGGATCACTGTCCTTTATGACCTGAGGTCCAGTGTCTTGACAACCACCTTTAAAATATATATTCTACCTAGATTTCTGCTTATTTTAGCCACGAGGGTACATCCAGTCCCTATTGCTCCAACTTTTTCAGAAACAGAATTCTGGTCTTACTCATAATGATATCAGGATCCCATAACTAGAGCTCCCTGAAGGAAAGACAAATGTTTTTGGGACTCCTTGTGCAGAATGTAAGAGAAGATTGGACTTACATTCAGCAGTCATTGAGTTCCTACTGTATATCACATTCCAGGCTAGAAACTGAGGTTAAAGTCTGTTAGGCACAGCACCTGGCTCCCACCTGCTCACAGCTGGCTTCTTTAAAGCTGTTTCACTGGCATTTCCATGTCAGTCATGCGTCACTTGTGACCAGGTCAGCAGAGCCAGGGAAGGGAGGCTGCCAGGAAAGTCAGATTTGGAACTGAGAGATAATCTCTGCTGATTTCCAAGCCCAGAGTAGCTCAAGAGCTCACCTAAGCTCACACAGCGAGTCAGTAGTAATTGTTTATTATGTAGTCTGTTTAGGACCCAGCCCACAATGCTGTCCACTGCCATTGCTATGACTGAAATCCCACCATCAGAGACTCATTCAACAAAGGCAGGGACTATCTGCTATCCACGCTTGCATTTCTCAGCGCTTGCTCCGTGATGACCAGTGAATGAGAGTGAGTGGGTGAATTAAAGATGAGACTGTTAAAACGATGAGTGTGCTTCTGGGAGGAAACATAGTTTATTATCCTTTGGGGCTGCATAGACAGTTAAGAGCAAGCCACAACTGGGACCCATGATAGGGAAGCAGTGAGAAGAGACCTTCATCCAAGTTAGTATCTCAAAAAGTCAGTTTGGTCACCTACATAATGGCAATCCTATTCTCACCCACCTTGAAGGGGCATGTCAGGTTCCAAGAGGATGAGATATGCCAAGCAACTGACGAGAGAATGCCCTCAGGGAATGATAGGTCTTTTCTGAGCAGCAGGTGGGGTTAGTGTGGGGCCGAGACCCAGCAGACCACAGAGCTCATCTGTCACCACCGTCATCATTCAGAAGCCTTTCTGGAGCCCAGAACTGCATGTAGGTGTGCTGGGCGGGGCACATAAAAACCGACTAGAGACTCCCTTGCCCGCTTGGGACTTGCATCTGAGGCAGCTGTCTCTGGAGGAAGTCCCAATCCACAGAGGATTAGGTGATTGTCAATTCACATCACACAGGGATGCCAGGGAAGAACATTTCCCAGGTGTGGGGCTGGTCAGAGGGATCGGGTGGGAACTGCTTGTCCTGCCAGGTGGGGTGGGGGACGTCTGCTCTGCTTTGTCAAGGCTCCACCGGGCAGAGCTCATTTTGAAGGCCGACAGGGCTCCCAGCTGTGGCCCACAGCTCTTGGCAGATGTGGTAGGTAGAAATGTTGGCTGAAGTTAGATTGCTTAGGAGTCACAGGGTATCTAAGCCAGAGGCCCAGGGCCTGGCAATCAGAGAAGCCCACCTGGCGATACACTGATTTTTCTCCCTTTCTTATTCACATAAACGTACCGGACATGATCCAGGACATCATACTCCCCAGGCCTCCACAAAACGCACAACTGTAATCAACTGGATGCCACTGTGTCTTAAGATGTTATCACAGGATTTTTTTTTTTTTTTTGACAGGCAGAGTGGACAGTGAGAGAGAGACAGAGAGAAAGGTCTTCCTTTGCCGTCAGTTCACCCTCCAATGGCCGCTGCGGCTGGCGCACCACGCTGATCCAATGGCAGGAGCCAGGTGCTTCTCCTGGTCTCCCATGAGGTGCAGGGCCCAAGCACTTGGGCCATCCTCCACTGCACTCCAGGGCCACTGCAGAGAGCTGGACTGGAAGAGGGGCAACCAGGACAGAATCTGGCTCCCCGACCGGGACTAGAACCCGGTGTGCTGGCGCCACAAGGCGGAGGATTAGCCTATTGAGCCGCAGTGCCGGCCTATCACAGGTTTTAAACTTGGACTTAGTCTACATCCAGAAAGTCTTCATTTAGGAAAATTTCAGGAGCACTCTTTTTTTTAACTTTTTTTTTTTTAAATATTTGACAGGCAGAGTGGACAGTGAGAGAGAGAGTGAGACAGAGAGAAAGGTCTTCCTTTTCTGTTGGTCCACCCCTCAAATGGCTTCCATGGCCAGTGCGCTGCGCCAATCCGAAGCCAGAAGCCAGGTGCTTCCTCCTGGTCTCCCATGGGGTGCAGGGCCCAAGCACTCGGGCCATCCTCCACTGCCTTCCTTGGCCACAGCAGAGAGCTGGCCTGGAAGAGGGGCAACTGGGACAGAATCCGGCGCCCGGACTGGGACTAGAACCCGGTGTGCCGGTGCTGCAGGCAGAGGATTAGCCTAGTTTTCTCCTATCATGAACTTTGGAATTTCACAGACTCACAGACTGTCAGAGCTGGAAGGGGCCTGAGAAACAAAGGGGGCGGTCCAGTCTTCTCACTGCACAGGTGAGGAAAGAGAGGCCATGTAAGTCACGTGGAGTCTGGACAAGAAATCCGGTTTCTAGACCAGCATACCTCCAAGAGTTCATGGATGCCGGCTCCGTGGCATCCATGGCATCCACCTTGCGGCGCTGGCACACCGGGTTCTAGTCCCGGTCGGGGCACCGGATTCTGTCCTGGTTGCCCCTCTTCCAGGCCAGCTCTCTGCTGTGGCCAGGGAGTGCAGTGGAGGATGGCCCAAGTGCTTGGGCCCTGCACCCCATGGGAGACCAGGAGAAGCACCTGGCTCCTGCCTTCGGATCAGCGCGGTGCGCCGGCGGCAGCGCGCCGGCCTGTGGCAGCCATTGGAGGGTGAACCAAGGGCAAAGGAAGACCTTTCTCTCTCTCTCTCACTGTCCACTCTGCCTGTCAAAAAAAAAAAAAAAAAAAAAAAAGAGTTCATGGAAAATGGAAATAAAAGGCAAGTTACTTTGGTGCAAAGCAGTTCTGAGATCCACACGTAGGTTTTTTTTTTTTTCCCCACAATGCACATTTTCCATGAACTTTGTGAAGACCTCTTGCCTGCCTTCTTCCACTGCAAGACACTCTGGAAACACTCCTTGAAGAGCTTTTAGAATGGGCATGAGGTGTATGGTTTGTGATTCCGTGTTGGCTGAAGATGGCCGCGGCCTGGCAAGCCCAGTACAACATGGACCCCTTGGGGAAGGAGCAGGCTTTCTCCGGCATGAGCTGTAGCACTCACAGCCCTGGCGGGGAGCCACAGTGTGGGGTGAGAGCTCATCAAGAAGCTGTTGACCGTGAGTGACCTTCCGAGTAAGGACTGCTCTCTGGGCGTGTGGTGCTGCAGGATTAGGACAGGGTGTGGTTAGGATCAACTCTGTACGATTTAGGAGAGCTTGGAATGAAATCTCAGCTTTCACCCTCAACTTGCTGTGTGTCGTCAGGTGTATTAGTCTGCTTTTCACTACTGTAGCTGAAACAACCCAGGGAAGTTTCTTCTTTGGGGAAGAAGAGGTTTATTTCAGGTTACAGCTACAGTTGGAGGCCCCATGGTCTTGTGTCTGATGGAGGCTGGCCATGGCACAGGAGCCTTCACATGGTGGGCCAAGAAGCAGAGAGGGCGCCAAAGCCAGACCTGGTCTGAAATGATAATCGGCCTCTTAGGAGAGCCATCTTCTGAGGCAGGGCCCCCAGCCACCCAAAGAGCTCCCATTGGGTCCCACTTCCTGGCTACCACAGCTGGACCAAATCTGCACCCTTAATCCATCAACCGTGATCATTGAGACATCCCAGTTTAAACAGAGGCATGAGTTCTGGGGGGGACGAATCCCACTCAACCAACGTCAGTGGGCAAGTCACCCAGCCTTTTCTCAGTGGTAAAATGGACCTATTCTACTATTCTAAAATAGGGACAGTGATATCCTCCTGAGACAGACGTGAGAATTACATGGAAGAAGCTGAATGTAGAGACCACGGCATGGTGCCTGCCTGTAGGTAGACAACTCAGTGAATGGCAGCTGGCCCATCAGGCTCTGTTTTGTTGTCATTTGGTTGCTTATATTGGGAGAAATCACTATCAGCCTTCCTCCCTCACCCCCCTTCAATCTGGAAATTGCTTTCTCTCCAATCTCTTTGCACTTTGATGGGCTGGCTGATGTGTTAGCAAGCCTGGCACATTTCTCTCTTGTCCAAAGCTTCTGCTAATCACAAGGTGGTTGCCAAGGGCTATCAGGATGCCCCCGTGAGCGGCTGTGCACTGCACCCTCGTCCCCTCTTCTTTTTCGGCCTCACTCCATTCTCACCACGCCCACTCTCCTCTCTTCCACGTGCAGCTTCTGAAAAGGCGGGGAAATAAACGAGTCTGCATGGCTGCTGCCAATGGGAAGATGGTCTCCAGACCCCAGAGCCCCGGCCAGGGGCCAAAGGGGAACGAGGCCTGCGTGGATCCCCCAGACAACCTGGAGCAGAAGGAGACCCTGGAGCAGGTGCCAGGCCAGCTGGCCATGCTGAGGAAGGCCCAGGAATTCTTCCAGACGTGTGATGCTGAGGGCAAGGGCTTCATCGCCAGGAGGGATATGCAGGTAAGAGGAGGCCCACACGGCCTAGGTCTCCTGGTCTTGGGTTGGAGCTTGCCCCAACAGGGGTGACATCCTTAACAGAAAAGACAGCGTCGGTTCTGCCCTGGAAGGAAGCACCAGCCCAGACTCGGGGGGAGCCAGACCTCCTGGGTTTGTTCTATCTCTGGCCTCTATTTGCTGTCAGACTTGAGCTGTTTCGTTTCGCTGGCTTGGAAACTCCCCTGGGCCGTAGAAAGTGGCAGTAGTAACCTAGGGGACTTGAGGAAGGCACAGAGAAGAACCTTCTGAAACCTGTGGCTCCACGAAGACGCTCTGGGTTGAGGGAAATCTCTTCTGCTGTGTGTGCCACAGGAATCAGCAGTGTAAGGCGCAGTGACCCGGGAGGAAGGTGTTTCTAGGGGTCGTTTCTCATCTGTCTTCACCCTCAAACCCCATCACACTTCACTGCTTGAGGCACGCCCAGAGAGGGAGAGCTGGTGTGCAGAGCTTCAGTGCTCGCCGCTGTCCAGTGTTCTGTAAAGGTCCCAGCCTAAATTTTTGAGACTCTGGGGTTCACTGCACAACTCTGCCACTATAGCACAAGACCCACCACCGGTAATGTGTCAACAAACGAGAATACTGTGTTCCAATAAAGCTTTATTGATGGACATTGACATTTGAATTTTATGTAATTTTCACATATTGCCAAATATGTTTCTCCTTTTGATATTTTTTTCGATGATTTAGAAAGATAAAAGCTATTCTTAGCTCAGTGGCCATAAAGAAGTAGGTGATGATGGGAGTTAGCCCAGGGGCAGCCCTGGCCCAGTCCTGGTCTAGTATCAGAAATGTTTCTTGGTGCCTTAAGTCTCTTATGCCGCAGTCATGACTTCATCCAAATGGCAGGAAATAAAAGCGCAGATCCTACTAGGGTCTCAGGGAAGGAGCGCTCTCCTTCCCAGCCTCTCTCTCAGTCGCTTCTCGGAGGGGGAGATGCCTGCCGCGCGGTCAGGTTTTCTTTCTGTAAGTCTAGTTTCTCAGAACACACTTAACGTGGGCAATGAAATGTAGGCCCTCACTAGTGTTAGCCCCATCTTTGCTCACCTGTGTGAGCTGGGAGGCCTGGGGGCTGAACATGGGCCATGTACTCCAATCCCATGGGATGCTGTTTGCCTGCTCTCCTAGAGTTGTTACACCCCGCCCCCCCGCCCCCAATCCTTGCACAAAGTGAGAAGAGAAAGGCCCAGAACCACCCCAGCTCAGCCCACCCTCATTTTTTTTTTTTTTTTTTTTTTTTTTTACAGGCAGAGTGGACAGTGAGAGAGAGAGACAGAGAGAAAGGTCTTCCTTTGCCGTTGGTTCACCCTCCAATGGCCGCCGCGGCCGGCACGCTGTGGCCGGTGCACCACACTGATCCGATGGCAGGAGCCAGGTGCTTCTCCTGGTCTCCCATGGGGTGCAGGGCCCAAGCACTTGGGCCATCCTCCACTGCACTCCCTGCACTCCCTGGCCACAGCAGAGAGCTGGCCTGGAAGAGGGGCAACCGGGACAGAATCCGGCGCCCCGACCGGGACTAGAACCCGGTGTGCCGGCGCTGCAAGGCGGAGGATTAGCCTAGTGAGCCCCGGGGCCAGCCAACCCACCCTCATTTTCAGTCATGGACTCCCCAGCAAGTTACTGCTGCTGAGACTCATTCCCAAGGCCCCGCTCCCCGGGGACGGCCAGATCCGGCGTGCTTGCAGGAAACTTTCGTCAGCCCCATCTGTGAGCCTCATACCTGTCACTCACAGATCCATGGCAGTGGGGGTTGTGGGTGGCTTCAATGGCCTGCTTCACCTTTGAGTGCCCCCTGTAGAAAGAAAGACACAGAAATTCACATTCTTTGAGGGATGGTACAGCTGCATGCACCGGGCAGCTCAGCCCTGAGGCTACCTCCATCCCAGTAAACCCCAGCAAAGCCCACTCTTGTGCAGGGAGGAGGAGATACCGTGAACTTCGACTGTCAAGTATAAATTCGCAGGGAAGCCACTTGGCTTTGACCTGGGATGTAATCAGAAGCATCAAACCCCAGAGAGGCGAGCCCATTGCCTTCCTGCCACGTCGCTGCACCTGGCCCAGGCAGGTGGGAAAGGGGATGAGGATGCTCCAAGCAGAGGCTTGTGCATCCATGGCCTTTGTCTCTGCTACCTGGAGTTCTTGGCTTCACCAATCTGTTAAGAATCATTTAGGGGCCGGCGCCGCGGCTCACTAGGCTAATCCTCCGCCTTGCAGCGCCGGCACACCGGGTTCTAGTCCCGGTCGGGGCGCCGGATTCTGTCCCAGTTGCCCCTCTTCCAGGCCGGCTCTCTGCTGTGGCCAGGGAGTGCAGTGGAGGATGGCCCAAGTGCTTGGGCCCTGCACCCCATGGGAGACCAGGAGAAGTACCTGGCTCCTGCCATCAGATCAGCGCAGTGCGCCGGCCGCAGCGCGCTGGCCGCGGCGGCCATTGAAGGGTGAACCAACGACAAAGGAAGACCTTTCTCTCTGTCTCTCTCACTGTCCGCTCTGCCTGTCAAAAAAATAAAAAAAAAAAAAGAATCATTTAGGAGCTGGCAAATGAACCAGAGCCAACCCACCATCTGTTCTCGTCAATAAAGCTTTATTGAAACCCATCTCTGCTCATTCCTTTCCGTACTGCCAGGGCTGCTTGCACTCTGCAGCGACAGAGTTGAGTTGCTGAGACGAAGACAGAACGGCCCGCAAGGCCTAGAAACACCCCTCTTGCTCTTTGCAGTTAAAGTTAGCCAAGCCCTGACTTAAGTTAACAAGAGAACTTGAAGAGATTTCTGTGGTGAATTAGTTGGGTTTTAATCTTGATTCTGCAGCTTTCTAGTAATGTGAATTTGTGTAAATCTCTTAACCCCTCTGGAGTTTAGATCTTCAGCTGTGAATTATTAATGGCTACCTTCCAGCATTAGGCGAGAATTAAAGGAGCTTATGCATGTAGAACGCTTAGCCTCAAGCCTGGGCCCTGGCAATCCCTGCACAAGTGCACCGTGCACATTCCCCGTCTTAGCCCAGTCCCTGGTGTCTTCCATACTGCTGTGTTTTACAGCTGTGGTAAAATACAAAAAGCATACAGTTTACCACCATAATCATTAAAACCTTTTGTGTGTGTGTGTGTGTGTGTGTGTGAGGGTGCGGGGGAGGCAAAGACAGAGAAGAAAAGAGAAACTGACAGAGAGATCTCCCATCTGCTGATTCATCCCCCAGTGCCCCCAGCAGCCAGGGCTGGACCAGACTGAAGCCAGGAGTTGAGACTCCATCTGAGTCTCCCATGAAGGGGGAAGGGACCCACTTACTTGAGCCATCCTGCTGCCTGTCAAGGTTACATGAACAAGAAGATGGGGTCAGGAGCAGAGCCAGGACTTGAATCCAGACACCCCAACATGGGACAAGGGGATCCCAGCCAGTATCTTAACCACTGCACCAAATGCCTGCCCCCATTGTAGTCCTTTTTGAGTGCACAATTCAGTGGCATTGACATTGGTGGGCACCCATCCCCACCATCCATCTCCAGAACTTATCTTGCAAAACTGACACCCTTTACCCATTAAACACCAGCTTCCTGTTCTTCCCTCCCCACTCCACCCCCAGGCCCTTGTAGCCACCATTCTGTTTTCTGATTCTATGAATTTGACTGCTCTAGGCACCTCATAAAGGTGGAATCAAACAGTATTTGCCCTTTTGTGGCAGGCTTATTTCACCTAGTATAGTGTCCCAAAGGTTCATCCCTACAGCAACACGTGTGGGAAGCTCCTTCCTGTGGCCGGGGAGTGCAGTGGAGGATGGCCCAAGTGCTTGGGCCCTGCACCCGCATGGGAGACCAGGATAAGCACCTGGCTCCTGCCATCGGATCAGCCCGGTGCACCGGCCACAGCGCGCTGAGATATTAATATTGTAGGCATATAACACGTGTTGTGTAACCACTCATCCACCAACAGACACTAGGTTGCTGCCACCTCCTTGGCTTCTGTGCGCAGGCCTGTGCAAATATCTGTATGAGTGTCTACTTTCCACTCTTTTGAGTATATACCCAGAAGTGAAATTGCTGGGTATTTCCCATGTTTAACTGTTGGAGGACACATGACACCACTTCCCAGCGGCTGTGCCAGCACACTGTGATTTTACATTCGAGTCATCTGTCTGCCTTAGAGATGAAGAAAGACACCTTCCACTCCTGTCTGGCTTGTTTGTGTCCAGGCTACGTGACTGGAGGCAGCTTTGCTTCCTAGAGGACAGTTGGCTGTGTCTGGAGACAGTTTTGGTGGGAGTGACTGGAAAGGGAGAGCTATTAGCATCAAGTAGGTAAAGAGTGCAGGTGATGGGGATGGCGCTCTGGTGCTGCAGGCTAAACCAACACCTGTGATGCTGGCATCCCATGGGGGCGCCGGCTCAAGTCCCAGCTGCTCTGCTTCTGATCCAGCTCCCTGCTAATGTGCCTGGGAAAACAGTGGAGGATGGCCCTGGTACTTGGGCCACTGCACCCCTATGAGAGACCAGATAGAGTTTCAGGCTCCTGGCCGCAGTATAGATGTTGCCAAATACCCTGTAATGTACAGGAAAACCACCTTCCTCTCCAAAACGCCTCTCTGCCCCCTACCAATACAGAATTATCCATTACAAGATGTCCGTAGCACGGAACTTGGGAAACACTGGTCTACACCAAGCAGTCAGCCCAAGCCAAGACCATCAAGGCACAGCACCCTCTCAGCCTCACCTTCTCACCCCGATGATACAAAGGTATCGCTAAGTGGCCAGTGCTGGGACAGAGGCCAGAGCAGAATGCAGGAGTCCTAAGAGGCAGGAGAGTTTGATTCTGGCTGTAAAGGTAGATCCCCTCTGGTTTTTACTTACAGAAAGTGTGCTACAGGGCCGGTGCCCAGGCAGGTACACAAGTGTGGCCGGAACGTGCGAAGAGACATCATTTTTCCGTGGTTCTGGGCCTGAACCCTCAGTGTGGCTGCTGCAGGACTAATCGCCTTCTGTTCTGGGTCCTGGAAGGCGCGGGAAGATAAGGCTGCCGAGAATCAGCAGTTGGGCTGGCCATCGTCCGTGGCTAGGTCATGGTCTCTGCCGTCCCTCTGAACCATGCACTCATTCAGTTATTCAGCAGATAGCCTGACTGCTCTGTGTTTGCCAACCTCCGACTGGGTCCTGGGGACACGGAATGAGTACAACAAGTGATGTGCCTGTCCTCAGAGTACTGAAGTTCCCATGTCCATGACCACTGGCTTCTCAGAGTGTAAAGTGTAGACTGAGATAGGGGACCTTGGAATGAGAGAGAATGGTCATGGGAGCCTCTGTGAACTGACATACCCTGGGGGCCGCAGTGGCCTTCCCTGGGTGCGGGAGCTGAGAGCGGAGTAGGAATTGTGGTTTGCGGACGGTAGCATTCTGAAGAGCCCTTTGGGCTGTGGGCAGCATGAGCGGGGCAAGCAGACTTCCCTCCACTCCTTTTCTCTCCCCTGCCTGTCCTTTCAGGGTTGTGGAAACGCTGAGCGAGGCAGGCTGTCTGGAAGGCTAGTTCTTGGCAATGCTGCTGCAGGCTCTGTGAGCTTGGTTCTGACGCTGGTGTGGTGGTGGTAAGGCGGGGTAGGTAGGGAGACTGTGAGTCGGGGAGTTTTCGAACGAATACACTCGGGCACCATTGCACTGCTGCCCAAGCCCTGAGTGGGAAGCGGGTTCTTCAGCCAGCTCTGGCCTTCACTGAGGCTTCCGGCAAGTCTCAGAGCCTCCCAGGCCTGTTGCACAGGGGAAGAAATAACTGTGTTCCCTTCCACCCCGTTTATCTCACTTCGTTAACGATGTAGACAGAACCAGGCTCCCAGGGGACCATAGCAGAATAAATCGGCTTTACATGGCTCTCGGGTCCTAGAAGAAAAATAAATACGAGGTAATTGTGGTTATTAAGATGAAAGGACTTTTCAAGTAGGGCCAACAAAAAGAGAGGCAAGAATCCGGTGTGGTGCCGCATGCTGCGCTTGGCACTGATTTACCGGGACAAGAAGGGGAGTTGCGTGGAAGATGTGGGGTTGCTTTCCCCATCTTCACGGACAGCAGGGAGAGCCAACAGGCAGAGATGTAGACAAGAGGTGGGCTTTGTGGTTGCACGAGTTGTTAGATTCATGGGTGGGGCCTAGGGTGAGGTATGAGACAGCCTTGCTGGGTTCGTGCTAACAAGAGCTGCACGACTGGGGTGAAGGGCAAGTTGAGGTGCCACCAGCCTCTGGAGTTCCCTTCTGGCTCCACTGCGGCGTGTGCCGTCACGTTTTGGAGCAGATCCAGCAGCTCTCAGATGGGAGGGGGCGGGGAGGGAGGGAGGAAGGGTACCCCAAGGAAAGGACTGGATTCTGGCCGTGACAGGCGCTCGGGTGTCATCCTACCCCCGATGTGTGATGCCTTTTGTTTCCAATAGAGCTAATAAACCTCCGCTTGCAAAATTGTCTCCTTCCTCAGCCCCTCTTCTCTCCCTGTGGCTTTCAAGACAGCTGGTTTGCAGGTTGCTGATAGGCCAGAGATCATGCTGTATGCTCCGCAGATACATTTCCAGAATCTTTGCACACGTTCTCACTCTCCTGCCCTTTGTGAAAAGCACATTCATATTTAATTCAGTTCTTCTAAATGGTTTCCGCTTCTACCCGTCTTCCTGCTTGGTAATGCATCATTGTCTCCCTTAGTGCAGGTACCTGCCAAATTGAGCTTCGTGGCTTACCAGCTAGATGGCCGTAAGATCGAGCCAAGTGTTCTTGCAAATTATCTTACAGGCTTTCGTGTCTGCCAGCTCTTTTTTTTTTTTTTTTTAATTGCTCAGAAGTGTGTAGCTTCCTCCCCCTAAAGCCCTCTGTTGACTTCAGCTGTCAGGAGCACACAGGGGCAGTTTTGTGCAGCTGCCTGGTGGGTACTCGAGAGGAAGGGGTTCTGTTGACTGAGATATAATGAACTCCCTGGGGGTGGGGGTGGTCCTAGATTGGAGATGTAGATTATTAGGGTCTAAGAGGACAGCGGCTTCAATGATACAAATGAGCCTTGGCCTGGGGCCATTGCACGACAGGTGCGAGGGCAGAGGGAAGCAGCAAGGGCAGCCCCTGTGCCGCTCGGGCGTCAGCGGCCCCTGCCCGCCCGTCCTTGCGAGGCCCTCTCTGGCCAGCACTCGTGCTCCGTATGGACTCATGACCTCCTCACACCGCCTCACCCAGACACAAGTTCTCTTGAGGGCTTGGTGCTTCCAGCCAGTGGCAGTTGACGTCTTATGAGGACTTGGTTGTCGGTCAGCAGGGAGCAAGAGTGGACACGGACTGGGGACGGGGTGATGACGTGGGTCACTCACGGGGGCGGGGGGTGGTTTATCCAGCGTCAGCTCAGAGCTAAAGGACTAACGTGTAGGACCCTGTGGCATGAGGAATCTCCATCAGAGAAGCCTCCTGAGAGTGACACACACCTGCCTCTGTCTCTCTCTCTGAATTTCACTGAGTTATGTTCTTAAAATTTATTCATTTATTTTTATGTATTCAGGAGGCAGAAAGAGTACCCATCTGCTGGTTCTCTCCCCCAAATTCCTGCAGAGACCCTGAGCCGGGGCCAAAGTCAGGAGCCAGGATCCCAATCCAAGTCTCCCATGCAGATGGCAGGAGCCAACTACTCGAAACGTTACCTGCTGCCTCCTAGGGGGCACATTAGCCAGGAAGCTGGAATCAGGAGCAGAGCCAGGACTCAATCCCAGGCACGCTGGTAGGAGATACAGGCAACCCAAGCAGTATCTTAGCTGCTATGCCAAATGCCCACCCCACCACACACACCTATGTCTTATTAAGGGAGCAGCATGGCAGAGGAAAGGGGGCTGAGCCAGAGAGAGCCGCAGGTGAAATCTGGCTCTCAGCCCGCCATTCACTCTCAGCGCATTTGTAGCTCTCTGAACGCTGTCTCCCGCCCTCTCCCTCTTTGCCTCCTGCTCATGATTGGATGCCTTCTCTGTATCACATGCTTCACATTCATCTTTCTGGGGATTGTCCTGCAGGTCCTGCACAGCTTCTGTCTTCCACAGGTGTTGAGAAGTCCTCCATAGCGCTGGGGTCAGTCCTGAATTGCCTCTTGGCTGAGTCATTACTGACTGTGCAACCTGAGGGCGGGTCATTGAACCTCAGAGTTGGTCTGTAAAATCAAAGGGTTGTCATGAGAATTAAATGCAGGTGGATACAGACAGACAGATAGGTGATAGATACATAGATAACAAGAGAGATTATTTTATACATCACCTATCAAATTGACTGGCACGTTAGTAGATACCCAGGCAGTGGAGGAGAAGGTTGGCAAAGCTGTCTCGATGCAGAAGTGTGCTCCTGGCTCTTGTGGGATGGGACCAGATGCAAGACCTTTCCTGGGAGAAGGCTCTGAATCTGATCGGTGCCCGTGGCCTTCAGTGTTAACTGTGCAGTCTCGATCACTTTCAGAGGCTCCATCAGGAGTTGCCACTGAGCCTGGAGGACCTGGAGGATGTATTTGACGCCCTGGATACTGATGGCAATGGCTTTCTGACCCCAGAGGAGTTCACAACCGGATTTAGTAAGTTCTGGGGGATGCCAGGGATCCTAGGGCCATGGCTCCACCGAAAGCTGTATACGGTGTCTGCCTGTCCACTCCCAAACTGGGAACCACACTGTACACGCTTTCCTTCCTTCTCAGGGATGCAGAGCCTGGTGTTGCCAGCCCTGGGTTATTCAGGCCGCTTTTCACACGCCCGCCTCCCCTGTGTGCACCACTGCCCACTCCATGCCCACCTCCCTGTCCCAGCCGAGTCACCTCCCACCGGGGGGGGGGGGCAGTGGGAACGGAGAGGAGCCTTGGCAGAAGGCTCATATCATAGATGGGACCATGATGAGAGCCCCAGCCCCTCCTTTCCAGCCCTGATAGGAAAAACAGTGGATGACTGGCTGGCTCGTTCCAAACTCAGTCTACCTGAGTCTTCCAGGTTGAGGGATTCCAGCTACAGAGGGACTCCCAGAGATTCTCGGGGTATCCCCAGGAAGAACTGAGAGGCGTGAACAAGATAAGAAAACCAGATACGCTGTCGGATCAGATCCAGCAGCAGGCAGATGTTACCGTCAGTCTGCCTCCTGCAGGGGGCCGTGCCATTTCCTTAGAGGCATCTGATGCCATTCCTGACCTATAACTGGCTTGGGAGGAAAAGCCAGACTGCTCCCAGGCAGTACCAGGCAGTGAGAGCGTGGGAAAAGTAACTTGTGAGTGTGGAGCGCCACCGGTGAGACCAGTGGTGGGGGTGACGCCGATGCTGATGGTTCTTAGGCAGACCGTTGCTGGACGGCAGGGGAGAGGGGCCCTTGTTCCAAGAAGAGATCAACACAGAAATGTGTTCGGAGCCAGGCTTTTCTTACAGGCTGTATAAGCTCCGTGAAATCATTTGGTCTCACCCTGCCAAGGCAGCCACAGGTGGCACTCGAAAGTCAGTGGATCTATAGCAGGCTAATTTTTAATCTGAACATTTCGTATGGCCTGCAAAGGATGTTATAAATATCCAAGGGGCCCTTGGAAGGGAACAGGTGCCTCACCCCCGTTTTTTAAAGATTAAGAACCACCAAGGAGCCCTTGTGCCTGTCAGGTTTTCTGAATGTCCCAGTGCTCGCATCTTGGGCAGAAGTGATGATGTCCGTAGATCTTTGCCCTCAGGGGTTTCCCTCATTCTTCTGTCACTTGAACTTCAGATGATTCCTAGTAGCTGAGAAAGCTAAGCTCTTGCTGGACGAGTTCTGTCTGATTCGGATCCTTGTGTCCTGCACCCTTCAGGTCACTTCTTCTTCAGCCAGAATAACCCAAGCCAGGAGGACGCAAGCGAGCAGGTGGCTCAGTCCCCCAAGGAGCAGGTGTATCAGTCCAGAGGAACAGAGGACCGGGGAGATATGGACGAGGATGAGGAAGCCCAGTTCCAGATGCTGATGGACAAACTGGGAGCCCAACAGGTTCTGGAAGAGTAAGTGGTGACCATGACTTGGAGGATGGAGCCCAGCCTAGTGGAACCTCCTCACCTGCCCTCCACAACAGTTAAGTCTGGATAATCGCACAGCGCAGTCTGCATGCTTGGCACTGCCAGCGAGGACCCTGGCGTCACACAGCCTGCCCTTTGCAGTGCCCAGTGGATGTGTCAGGCTCTGTCTCTGCATTGTGCCTTTTGGCTTTGGCAGACATTCCTATCCTGCTCTCGCTCTCTCTGCTCCCCTGACTCCCAGCTGTCCATTTATCATCACGGACCTTGGTTCAGCCTCGCTCCCCGGGGGGTGTTCACACATCAGAGGTCTGGACCAGGCCTCAAGGTTTTTCAGTGACTTTCCCCTGAGGTCTCCTGGTGTCACCGGCATCCCCACCTCCAGTGGCTGGCCCTGGGTCTGTAGGGCTGTGCTGCATCATGGATTTTCTGCCCAGTGGTGCTATTCTGACAAAGGCTCCTCCTATGGAAGCAGTTGCAACTTCTACCTGTGCAGGACGCCTGACAAGAAACAAGCTAGTGTTTGCCAGTTTACCAGTTCACCCTTTGGATAAAGTGTCTTGACTGAAAATTCAGATGGCCGGGACTTCAACACATTAGGGGCCTTCAAAAACTTCCTGGAAACACACACATTCTCTTTTCATTCCACTTGATCATTATTTTTTCTCTATTTGAGTGGGAGAGAAATGGAGACAGGGAGAGGCTCCATTCATTGACTCAGTTCCAAAGTGGTTGAGGCTAGGCCAGAACTGGGGAGCCTGGAATTTAGTCCAGCTCTCCCACATGGATGGCAAGGACCCAACTACTTGAGCCATCACCTGCTGCCTCCCAGCGTGCACCATAGCAGGAAGCTGGGTATTGAACCCAGATGTTGTGATACAGAATGTAGGCGGCCCTAGGTCATTTTGAGGCCCCCTAGTAACACCCCAATCCCCCCCAAAGTGTTTCAGAATATGAAGACACATGGACCTAAGCCCTGACATTTAATGTAAAATCAAATTATAAAATATGATATCGTTCATAGAAACCAGGCAGTGGGTCTGAAAATCGTGCTATGCTTTCCGTCCCCTTCCCCCTTGCCTTTAGGCTTTCTACTTTGGAGTCTCTGGGTCTTGGGTTGGGGGTGTGGTTCAAGCAGGGTGGGAGTAGCCTTGCAATAAGAGCCAATGTTCCCAGAGCTTGAGAGAAGCAGGGATCAAGAGGAGAAAACGATCAAGAGGAAGCAAGAGAGAAGGAGCCACACACAATACACAGAGACCAAAGCTCCATGAGTTTTTTTTTAATATTCTATTTATTTATTTGTTTGTTTGAGAGGCAGTTACAGACAGAGAGAGGTCTTCCATCTGCTGCTTCACCTTCCAGATGGCTGCAATGGCCAGAGCTGGGCCAGGCTGAAGCCAGGAACCAGGAGCTTCTTCTGGGTCTCTCATGTGGGTCCAGGAGCCCAGGCACTTGAGCCATCTTCTGCTGCTTTCCCAGACTCATCAGCAGGGAGCTGGATGGGAAGTGGAGCAGCCAGGACTCGAACTGTTGCCCAAATGGGATGCTGGCACTGTAGGCAAAGGCTTAGCCTACTATGCCACAGCGCCAGCCCTAGTTTCGTGAGTTTTTGATAGGCTCTGTCAGGCAAGAAGGGGACAGGCAAAGGCCTAGGAGAGAGGCAGGCAGGAGGCCCTGGACAGGAAGTAAAATTTGCCTCTGCCTGCAGCACAGGAGCAGCAGCTCCACGGCAGGCCTTCGAGATGCTGGTGACCAGGTGGATCGGCACCCGGGGGAGGTGGGCAGGTCTGGTGGCGGGACAGTGAAGGGAAGCTCATCAGGCAGACAGTTACTCAGTGTCACCAAGGACAGGAGGCCAGAGCATGGTGACTCCTGCCGGGGACCTGGAGAAGGGGAACAGAGAGGGCGGTGCAGGGAAGCAAGGCGCTGAAGTAAAAGAACGGAATCTCTCCACCTGCCCACCCACTTCTGGGCTCACCACCTTTCAGGCAGGGCTCTGGGGTCAGAGTTCGCCCAATATTGCCCTGAGGACCTAGGTCAGAGGCCCATGCAGAACCGAGCTAAACAGAGACGCCCCGGAGAGGAGACGATTTGGGGAGGCTGCAGAGCGGGCTGGAAGAACTGAAGTGGGCTTTGGCTGCAGCCTGGGGGAGGTACTCATGACCAGGTGACTGGTGAAGGAATGCAGGAGGCTGCAAAGATGTCAGAGGTCTTTAGAGATGTCACTCATCAGAGTGCTTTGGGGGTTGTCTGGAAGCAGAGAGATGACTGCCTGGCCCCCAGAAAGCCCCGCCACCTGCCCTCCTCCATCCTGCCGCGATGGGTGGCCTCCGTGTGCCCAGCAGTGGCAGGCTGGGCTGCACGTCTCTCGGTGGTCTGATTGGCTGAGTGATTTGGCAGCTTATGGGGCTTCAGCTTCTTTTTCACTAGGAGTTGAGGGACTTGTTCCTTCTGCAGAAATCTGGGGTAGGGCATGCGGCCAGGACTGAATGGCTCCTGAGCATTAGAAGAGGATGAGGTGAGTATTTGAATCTCAGCGGGGCCTTAGCCCAGCTGACTGCTCCTCGGGCCCCCGCAGGAGCCTGGCGGATGTGGGCAGATGGAGGCTGACAAGGTGGACCTTGGTTTTAGAACGCATTTACTTCAGGAGGGTGCACCTCAGTCCATTTGCACTGCTGTAGCAAACTTCCATAGACGGGGCACCTTCTGAGCAATGGGAACTTATTCCTCAGTCCTGGAGGTTGGGAAGTCTAAGAGAACGGTGTCGCAGATCTGGTGTCTGGTGAGGTCGCTTTTCCCAGTTAATGGAAAGCCATCTCCTCGCCACGTCCTCATGTGGCAGGAAAGTCCGCTTTCATAAAGGTACCAAGCCCATTTGTGAGGTCCCTGCCTCCATGATCTAGTCACCCCACCCCCAAACCTCCACCTCCGGGGTTAGGATCTCAACATAGGGAGACCTAAGCATTGAGACCACAGCAGGGAGCAAGCTGCCAAAGGCTGGCGGGGTCCCCGTGGTTTTTCTCTGAGATCTTTTTTTGTCTCTGAACCCCTGTGGCATCTACATTTTACCTGTACAATGAAATGGACACCCACAGCATATTCTGTGTGGAAAAAGATGGAACTCATTCTGGGCAACATCAGAGGCTCCTCATCACCCCTTCTCTTGTCTCCAAGATTCTGTCATGTCACTTGGTACAGTGCTAGGTTTGTAACATAATAATAAATACTTGGTGGGTGGATGGACGGATGGATAGATGGATAGGTGGGTGGGTGGATGGATGGATGGATAGGAGGATAGACGGGTAGGTGGATAGATGGGTGGGTGGATGGATGGATGGGTAGATGGATAGTTAGATGGTTAGATGGGTAGATGGATAGTTAGATGGTTAGATGGGTAGATGGATGCATGGATGGATGGATAGGTGGATAGATGGGTAGGTGGATGGATGGATGGATAGTTAGATGGTTAGATGGGTAGATGGATGGGTGGGTGGATGGATGGGTGGGTAGATGGATAGTTAGATGGTTAGATGGGTGGATGGATGGGTGGCCTAAATAAGTAGGTGGATATTTGGATGACGTGGAAGAAAGAAAGAATGTGAGAAGTGGAACAAGGGACAAATCAGCTGTGTCTTTGGCTCAGTTTGATCATTGGCTGTAGATTTTTGAGTTTTTTCCGGGAGAAGAGGGCTCATAGTGTGTGGCTCCTCCACGTTCTTTCCCTCGGTGGTCAGTGTGACCCCACGTGTGTCTTTTGCTGTGCTGAGTGCCCACATGCCCTGGTGTGCCCATTTCTGAGTGTGTCACTGTCCTTGTCTCCGCCTGCCTCCGAGTCTCCCAGCTCTCTGCACACACACCTTTCCTATTGCTCCCTCGCTTCCTCTCACCTGTCAGCCATTCCCGGTTCCCACAGGCCTCAGTGGGTGCCACGTGTTCTCTTCCTTGCTCCACGGTGACAGCTGCTCTCTGCCACGCGTGAGACAGCAGATCTCCCACCTCGGCTCTGAGGACCACCCGCCCTGGTGGCCACAGGCTTGCTAGCCCATCAAGCATGCTCTGGGCTCCCAGCCTCCTCTCTTCTTCCTGGCACGTTGAGACACTCCCAGGGGCTTTGCCATACTCCCTCAGCACCAGGAGCCCATCACAAAATCCCCCAGGAGGTCAGCAGCATGAAGGAGGCCAAGGTGGGAGTCCCACGGCCCTGCGCTGGGCCCTGGCCTTGCCGTTTCGCTGCTGCGGGACCTTAGGCAGCTTCCCTTTCATTTTTCCTCATCTGCCCATGGGGCAGCAGCAGCGCCTGCCTCTCAGCGGAGCTGTGAGCTGCGATCCATGAAGTGCTCCCTATACAGCAAGCGCTCAATACATGTCAGCTTGCTGACGATTGCGCTGTGGTGTGCGGCTGCCCCTGTCAGATCCGGGCCCCTCTGAGACGTCCCCAGATCTTCCATCCCGCCTGCCCGCATTCACACCTTTCTGTTGCTCACAGCGAGAGCGACGTGAAGCAGCTCTGGCTGCAGCTGAAAAAGGAAGAGCCCCGCTTGCTGTCCAGCTTCGAGGATTTCCTGAGCAGCATCTTCTCCCAGCTCCAAGAAGCCCACGAGGAGAAGAACGAACTGGAGTGCATCCTCCAAAAGTGAGTAACCCAGTCTTGGCTGCTCGCGGGCCCTGTGTGGGCAAGCCGGGAACACGAAGGGCCCTGTCTCTCGGATCTTCCTGCCAGACTTGCCGGGGCCCTCCTGGCTGCTGTTAGCTAAAGTGGGGGCCGGGGCTGCACTCCGCCCTGAGAGATCTTCTTCTAAGCCCTCCCTCTCCTTTGTTAAGTACTCGCCATATGCTAGGCGCTCTCCTAAATACTTTCCATACCGAAGCTCATTTAATTCTCACAACAGCCCTGTACCCTGGGGACTCCTATTATAATCCACAGTTTATCATTGTAGAAATCGAGACACTGAAGGCCGGCGCCGCAGCTCACTAGGCTAATCCTCCGCCTTGCGGCACCAGCACACCAGGTTCTAGTCCCGGTTGGGGCGCCGGATTCTGTCCCGGTTGCCCCTCTTCCAGGCCAGCTCTCTGCTGTGGCCAGGGAGTGCAGTGGAGGATGGCCCAAGTGCTTGGGCCCTGCACCCCATGGGAGACCAGGAGAAGTACCTGGCTCCTGCCATCGGATCAGCGTGGTGCGCCGGCCGCGGCGGCCATTGGAGGGTGAACCAAGGGCAAAGGAAGACCTTTCTCTCTGTCTCTCTCTCTCACTGTCCACTCTGCCTGTCAAAAAAAAAAAAAAAAAAAGAAAAAGAAAAAAGAAAAAAAGAAATCGAGACACTGAAAGGTTCGGTCACACCCCTGAATGCACAGCTTGCAAGCAGCCGAGCCAGGATCCAGTGTGAGATCGCCTGGTGCCTGAGGCCACAGCACACAGGGTCTGTCCCGAGCCAGGGGGTCAGCGCTCCCTTTCAGAGCCGCAGTTCTGTAAGGTGGTTCCGAGCCCTGCTGGGCAGCCCCCTCCTGTCATGGCTCACATCTCTCTTTGCCTTCAAGGCCTCTCCAGGAGACCAAGCACCCAAAGAAAGTGCTGAAAACCGAACCAGAGTCAGCGCAGGCAGCAGGTGCATCACAGAATGGGGGGCAAGGCCCTGCTCCCCTCCTGAGAGCTGGTGTGTGCTCATGGACTCTGCTTGCTCACGGTCATGGGACAGCCATTTCTTTTTATTATTATTATTTTTAAAGATTATTTATTTGAAAGGCGGAGTTCACAGGCAGAGAGAGAGAGAGAGAGAGAGAGGGAGACAAAGGAAAAGGTCTTCCATCCGCTGGTTCACTCCCCACATGGCCACACTGCCAGAGCTGGGCCTATCTGAAGCCAGGAGCTTCTTCCGCGTCTCCCATGTGTGTGCAGGGGCCCAAGGACTTGGGCCATCTTCTACTGCTTTCCCAGGCCATAGCAGAGAGCTGGATCAGAAGTGGAGTGGCCAGGACTTGAACAGGCGCCCATATGGGATGCCGGCGCTGCAGGCAGCGGCTTCACCCACTACACCACAGTGCTCACCCCTGTAACTGCCATTTCTTAGCACTGGGCTCACATTTTGTGAAACGTGGAACTAGATGTGCTGTCACTAAGGATGGTTCGTAACCTTGATGGTGAAGCCCAAGCACAGGGCTGGGTTTGGGTGGGGCTTGGATGCCTGGTCCACCGCCTGCCTTCTCTGCATGCCCGGAGATGTGCTGCAGGCATCCTGGACAGGTCCGTGGCCCTGTGAGCCTGGTGATCCGCACTCCACATGCCCCTCTCTGCAGATGCCTCCCAGCAGGCTTAGGAGAGCCTGGTCCTGCCTTGTGGGTGGCTGGGTTTCAGTCTCTGCTCCACAGCATCAGAGAAAGCATCCCAGCCCCTAACCAAGAAGGAGACCATCATCACCACGTGTCTGTCCCACGGGCAGAGAGACGGGTCCTGCTCTGCACCTGGTGCCTCCTCAGTGCCCACCCCAAACTCACTTGCCAAGCTCCCCTGGGACTGTCCACAGCTGGGGTGGGGGGTAGGGGAATAGTGCTGGAGGAAACAGAGCCCAGCTCAAGGACTGGGAGGAGCATTCTGGGGAGCCTCCCCAGGCTCAGGGAAAGGAAGGGTTAAGGGAGCTGCTTCCATGTCACCCTGAGCTGATTAAGCCACGGGACCAGATACAGTTGACTGTGCCCCTTGCTTCTGCCACTGGCTTGCGGACCACACGTGACTGCGTGCCAGTGTTTGGAACAGGGCTGGCACGCAGGTATTTGGTGCATGTCCAAATAGTGGTGACTGCTATTTTCAGTGTCTTTGCCCACCTTGGGGGGTTTGTTGGGCTGCCATGGAGACTTTGAGGCTTGATGTAGTTCGAGGTGAAGTTCAAGGGTCCCTTTATCCTTGCAGGCAACGTGGCATGCATTTGCTACACAGCATTGGCACCACCTGTAAACGTCTTAGGAACGCAGACTTTCTCAGGCCTTGCCTCAGGGCCACTGATGTGCGTTTTATCGAGATGTCCAGGGGCTTCGTGTGCAGATTTGAGAAGTGAGAGCCTGGGAGTCAGGAGCTCAGGGGTCGAGATGTGGAGACTGCACAGCCGGGGTAGAGGTGTGGAGACTGCACAGCCAGCAAGCTTCATGACCCTTCTCCTGTCTCCTGGCCTCTCTGAGCCTCAGTATCCCCACTTGGTCCTGGAGAGATTTCTGACCCCACCCTACCCCCGCTCCCCTCTTGTCGCTCCCCCTCTTCATGGAGGAACGACACTAAACCCTGCCTAGGCTTCATATCCGAGTCACGGCACCATTATGTCGCTCCCCCTCTTCGTGGAGGAATGACACAGGACCCTGCGCTGTTCTTTCGTCTGCTCGGCCCTCCCCGGGTTTGCTGCTGGTTCTTCCCGGGTTGGCTACCGACCCTTCCACCTCCGTGGAAGGGCAGTTCCCCCTGCCACTTTCCCCACTTCCGTGGGGGAGCGGCACACCGCCGGCCAGCTCTCTCGGGGGCTGCTCAGATGTTCCTGGTGCATGTTGTCTCTCTCCTCCTTTATAGTCCTCTTCCACCAATCCCAACTCTGCTACCCACATGCCGAGTACGCTGCTCTCCTCCAATCAGGAGCAGGTCCTGCTGTTTATTGGTTGAACTGGAGGCAGCTGAGTAGAAGCTGTTTCCTCCTCTCCCAGCGCCATATTGTGGGAGAGCAGATGCATAGAATAAGTCTTAATTCCAGTAACAGTCTAGTCCGAGTTGCTCCCAGTTGCTCCCCACACCTCTGACCCCCATGCTGATGGCCCGGAGGAGCTGCAGCCACGGTCAGGTGGCCGGTCCCGGAGAGGAGGGTTCTGTCTCGCTCTGGAAGCAGGGCCAGCGCAGCCTGTGCATGTGGCCTGGGAGCTCCTCTGCAGGTCGCCCTCCTCTGACTGCCACCGTCACAGGGAGACAGAGCCCTGACCTGCTGGAGAGCCTCTTAGCCCTGCCATCCGTCTTCAAGTGGCCTCTCAATGTGCTTTGGCCTAATCTTGCAATTGCTTGAAAAGTTCTCGAGATGAGAGTCAAGGCTACTCTTGGCTGTGTGTGCACAACTGTCTCAGCTGGAGTCCCCACCCCCTCCATGCCAGCCTGCAGTTGGAGTCCCCACCCCCTCCACGCCAGTCCGCAGTTGATATCCACGCCAGCTGCACCTGCCCAGGGAGCTACAGCAGAACTGGAGACTCGCCGAGCTCTCTGGCCAGTCCCATTCCAGGGGCACCTTCCGGGTGCTGCCCCAGAGGGCTGCAGGCTGTCGTGAGCAGAGCCCTGAGTTAGGAGATGGGGGGGTGGGGCTGGAGTTCCTGCCCATCCCCGAGCTGTGTGACCCCAGCAGACTTGCCAGCCCTCTCTGCGTGTCCATTTCTGTACTGACAACATGGGATTGTTGTTTTTCAAACACGTTTTGGGAATGCAGCTCAGCAGAAGGAACATTTTATTTTTAAATCCCTGCACACTTATTTGAGGGAACTCCTGAAAGTCCACAGCAGTTGTAATTAAAAGAGAACGCAGGGGTCCGACGCGGTGGTGCACTAGATTAATCCTCCACCTCTGGCACCGGATCCCATATGGGTGCCGGGTTCTAGTCCCAATTGCTCCTCTTCCAGTCCAGCTCTCTGCTGTGGCCTGGGAAGGCAGTGGAGGATGGCCCAAGTGCTTGGGCGCCTGCACCCGCATTGGAGACCAGGAAGAAGCACCTGGCTCCTGGCTTCGAATCGGCACAGCTCCAGCCATTGCGGCCAATTGGGGAGTGAACCAATAGAAGAAAGACCTTTCTCTCTGTCTCTCTCTTTCACTGTCTGTAACTCTGCCTGTCAAATAAATGAATAAAATATTAAAAAAAATAAAAAGAGAATGCAAATTTCCCATCAACTTCCTGAAGCCCTGCATATGTGTTTGTGTGTGTACACCTGAAATGAAACTTATTATGTGCGGCACACTCTGGTGTTTTCATGGAACATCTTTTATTATCTTTTCTTCTATTTAAAAAACTAGTTGGCCACACCTTGCTGGGCTAGATGGTCTACAGGGGCAGCTAAGACATCTACCAAGAAACCAAAACCCCAATAAGATCTAGAACTTTAAAAAAAAATTTGCTTAATTGAAAAAACAGTAGGGAGAGAGATCTTCCATCCACTGGTTCACCACTCCCACCCCCCAAATGGCTGCAATAGCCAAGTCTGGGCCAATTTGAAGCCTCCTCCATGGGGGACAGTGGTTCAAGCACTTGGGCCATCTTCCGCCGCCTCCCCAGGCACATTAGCAGGGAGCTGGATCGGAAGTGCAGCAGCCAGGACTCGAACCAGTGTTCCAACATGGGATGATGGCTCCGTAAGCTGCAACTTAACCTGCTGCGCCATGCCGGCCCCAGGAAGAGAACATTTACATGGGATTCCTTGCTTCTCTGAAAACTTCGGAGGTTTGAGCTGGTCAGTGGGAGGGGCACATCCAAGCGTTAGAGGGGAGTAGAGACGCTATTGGGCACGGCCAGGTTTAGGATGGCATCTGGAGTAACGCTGAGAACAACAGTGAGCCGAGGGCCAGGAGGAAGTCTCCCAGGCTCCTCCGCGGGCTCGCTCTGCAGTCTGGAAATTGAGCCCCTGCCCGCCCTG